GGAGCGATCAGCTTTGTAGTTTCACCTTATCTGCCAGCTCCTGCTCTTGAGCGCGTTGCAGCTCGTAACTCATGATGCAGCTGGTAGACAACAACAATCAACAACAACAACAACACCAAAACTTACTGTTGGAGTTATGCTCGAGTCCAAGTTAGAAAAAAATGCTTGGCATCGATTTTCATAATTTCGTGCTCTACACCTCGCGACCGAAAACTAATCGTCGAGCAAGTCGGAGCCACGCCGAAGAATCAAAACAAGTTCAAGCGATATTCGAAGGTAAAGTTCGAACGACTTCTATAAAACTTCTGTGGCTCGTTTGAGCCATATAAGTTCGTAAAGCATCTTCTCAGTGTGAGAAGTGTGAACTGTTTCACTGCTCGACTCAATGGATCGTTTGTGTATTATTAAAATTGATGCCATTACAATGCACAACCTGGTCCCTTTGAGCTTTTGGGAGCTCTCTACAAGTCGTCTAACGAAGTACAAGCGACGAAATCGGATGCGACTCCCAGTCGAATGCTCTTGTGCCTGCTCTTGCGCTTTGATTTACGAGTCGTGCCTGTATTATACACACGCGAGAGCGGCAACCACGAGGACCATTGCGCGTCGAGCGAGCCGAAGAGAAACGACTATTATCATCCGCGCGAGCATGGTTATAGTTAGTAGTACTACAACGGCAGCGAGCGAATGAAAGCGCCGAGCGATTGTCCCGCGACCGAGCCGAGCAAGAAAAAGCTCTTTCGCAGGGCTCCGGTTCACTTTTATTTTTTATATCTCGTTGTTTTGAACTTTTAAACTGTACTAGCTGGCTCATGCACGCTCACACATGTGAAAGCACACGGATAGGCTCTGCCTTGTCGGATCACTGTTGTTTAAAAAGTAAAAGCGAATGAAAGTGCGTGTTATTCGCGGTTATGAGGCAGCTTCTGCGCGATTTCATATCCTGTTGACTTCTCAACTTTGGTACGGGTCAACCGGATAAGATATGTATCGCAAGTAGTGCACTTTGATAAGTTTATATAATCCTAACATGCCTGTATGGCCTGTCCAAGCGTGTCCTTTTCTCTTTTTCTTGTTTTTTTTTTTTTTTTTCATTTCAGTTTACAACTTAATTTGACTCCGTGCATGGCAAAAGCTTTACAGCGAGCGAATCGCACGCGCACTGTTGTTTTCATTAAAATTCGCCGATCTACTGGTTGGCGGCGCACAGGTAGGTAATACAAGTCGCATCTGAGCTGCGCGCATAAAGTACCGTTGCTCGAGACTTTGCGAGCTAGCGCCGTACGAGCTGCGCTAGCTATAAGCACGTGTAAATATACGGTATGCTCACGCAGACACGCGAGTGATCTGCCGTATACATATACTACGATACGTGCAAGTGTAAGACAGCGAGTCATTGAAAGCGACAATGCTCCGAATGGCAGTTTGTATACAAACAAACGCGGCGGGCCCAAAGAAAGGAAGATCGAGCGCACGAATGTGCTTAATTTATACTTGCAGCGCGTATATTGTTCGTTAAAATATAGCTACAGACGAATACCATTGTAACGAGCTGTGCATCTCATCGTTCGACACAACGCCGACTATTGGGTGTGCACATATATCACCCGTTGCAAAACTTTTGTAATCGTTCGAGAAACTAGCGCAATCGGCCGCGAGACGAATTGTTGTACATCGACGATAGTTCTCAGAGGCTCGTGATCGACTCGCGCATACGAACGCACGACGCGTGCGGAGGTGCGTTTACAAATACGCATCGCCGAGAAAATAATCCAAAATTTATCGTCGATCGACAAAGACCACAAAGTACGGGGCTATGATGTGTCGAGTCTCTGAATAATTAATTGCTCGCGATCGTATCGCTCGATCGTTCGTACAATTGCTTATTTACCCATACACTCGTCGTAGCTCAGCTCACACACACACACACACACACACACACTTAGTAACAATTGGTCGTGGTCGTTGCTCAACGCCATTTCTGCAGTGCTGATCGGCTCGTTGCAACCTCGTCGTTTTCGTCGTCGTCGTCGTCGTATTATTTCACACGCGGAGGCCGCCCCGACGCCCTGCGCCGCGCGACTACGTTCGCGAACATACATTGTTTATCCACACATTGTATTTATCTGGAGGCTTTCGACACGCGTAGAGCAACATTGAGGCAGATATGTATTAACACCGATCATAATTACACACACATAGCAAACATGATGCCATCGAGAGCGGTATGCGGCGAAGCTCTCACGGCTCGATCTGTTTTTGCTGTTATTATGCCAGCCCCCGTTCGATAATAACGATCTGCTAGCTATCATTCGCCAACTCGATCGCTGAGCAGCCGACTGCGCGTTTTCATTATCGGAATGGCGACTTTTTACGCGCTCCCCTTTCATGTCGCAGCAGCAGCAGCATTTGCTTTCGTGCGTTTGATTCCGTTTGATTCCGAAACCAGATCCTTTATCCGGTTTTCTATAAACGAACTTGATGGTAATGCGCTTGGACTCGAGCCACGTCTGTGTCAAATTAACTTATCCACTCTCTTTCTCTCTCTTTTATCACGAGAGAATAAAATTTTCGTATGGGAGCACTAATGTTTACATAGAATTTATAACGAATTTAGTCGGTGTTTGTGAATTTTAACGTCGTATATACAACGTGGGGGAGCTTTAGTTCGATACTGTAGAACTATGCATCGGCATAAATCGAAAAAAATTAAAAGTGGGCAAACTTGGAAAGAAGTCATCTGCATAAAGCTATACGTAATTGCGAATGAGAGACTACATACACATTCTAATAGTTGGGTATTAACGAATCGCGGTAAATGCGGGACTCATTAGATGAAAAATGCACGTTTCAGCTGGGTTGTTAAAAATTTCGCTCGATGAGTTTATCGTGATCGTCGATAAGCGCCGCGCGTAGCAAGCGAATAATATACAACAACGCCTGTGCATACGTATCGAGGCAAGCCAAAAATGCTAATAATAAAAAGAAACGACCCGAATAGCTGTGTACGCGCGAGTTTAAGCATCTCGCACGCGGCGGCGGCGGCTAAAATGTAAGCGAGATCAGAGAGAGAAGAGAAAGGAAGGATGTGCCTACCTGGGGATATCGGCTCACGAACGTTTATAGATAGCCCGCGCGCGCATAATTTCCTTTCCACACCTCGCGAATCGACATTCTCGCAAATTGGCCATCGAGACTGATGAAGAAAAAATTTTTTGGCAAGCGAACGATCGTATTTATGCCGGCCGTAGGGGGGACGAGGAGGAGCGGGAAAGAAAAACGCCAAATAGCCACTAGGTCTTTGCAAACGATGCGCGAGCTCGAGAGCATAAAAAACGCATAAAAATGCCGTTAGCATCGTATACATACAGCATATACGCACGAGGCAGGCAGGCAGTCAGGCAGAAGCACGCGCTTATATACGTACATACACACACGGGTGAAATAGGTATTAATCAGGAAAGTGAAGAGTAGAGGAAGAGTGAACGAAGGCGAGCCCTTATGCATGTACGCGGGAGGCGATTTCGCATTACGCTCGCTGCAGGCCGCATTACGAATGTAAGCGCGTGCGGGAGCAAGCGAGAAAAATAAACAGTAGCTGCACAGCGGCGGATGCGCTCTTATGCACTCGACTGCAGAGCGCTACATATTTTCTACTGCACACATACACGCTACTGCTCCATGCCAACTGCATCGTCGAGCGGGACCGGAGAGAGAGAGAACCGAAGCAAATGTATAACGTAATGTAGGCACTAACTGCCTGCGAGATGTATAGACGAGACTAAACAGCACCAACAAGTCGTCGCGCACGTATGAATGCCCTACTCTGTCCGTGTGCTTCGGTACCCTTTAGCGCATTGACTTGGCAGGCTACGCGAGGCAGTGCATATAATGCGTAGCGCAGCTCTTTTACGCCTTTACTCGCGCCCACCGCAGTCGTGGTGTTGTTATACGCTCGACCGTTCGGACTCTCGGCCCTTCTACGTGTGCCTATGCAACGCTTGAGCTGTAGCTCCAGTTCATTATTCGTACTCCGTTTAAGCGAGAGCAGAAAAAATTCAAAGCGATAAGGCTGTCCAGTATGCTTGTCTTGTTTTTCACTCCTTTTTCTTTTCTTTTTTCTCCTTCCAACTAACGCGACTAAACGCGGCCTAATATTATGCATCTAAAGTAAATAGTTCTCCTCGGATTCTCACAATTAATGCAAGCGACGCGACGCGAATATCCACGCGGCATATATTATAAGCGCTGCGCTGACGAGCTGTAACCAGCCATTTCCTCCTTTCGAGGCTGCGAGCAGCACACACACACACACACACGCTGCATGGCTGAAATATAGGCATCGTGAGTAGGCGATTGCGAATCTCGGTGAACGCGTCACGAAACTTTACCTATGCTGCTGCTGCTGCTGCTTCTTTTATCAATGCGAGATACGATACGCGCGCGCTAATGACCGCAATAACGTAAATTACGACAAATTAATTGCGATGTTATTTATCGTGCGACCGAGTGACCAAAATCATGTCGCGTATGAAATAATTTTTTCAACTTACGTTATACGAGTTCTACTTTCGTCGATATTCACGAGTGCGCCGCGTCGTTAAACTCTAGTAATTGTCGCGTTATAAAGCAGACACATTTTCACGCGCGCGAAACTCGTTAATTGTAATGTATCGTAAAATCTAACGATAAACGTTAAATAATAATAGGTCGATACAAATTGCAAAACTACGAGATAACATCGAATCAATTATTTCCAAGTAAAATAGCTGCTTCTTGTAATTAAACGAACAATTATTATGACAACACATCCTGTACACAGAAATTACGCCAAACTGTAAACGATCGGCAGATAGATCAATTAAAACAATCAAGAGTTCGGTTGTGGGTCGCACGCGCGACGTCATTTTCCGCTGTTCAGCGGAAAGTAGCGAACCGGTGAATCGAAGATCGCGAAGAGGAAAGTGACAAAAACTAGGATATATTTGTAATGCGCTTACTCAGCATCTTGTTGATCCAGTCAGCAAGATCCTCCTGGAGGGGCACTAGCTGGCGAGCCTGCGCCGACAGCAGACTCTCTTGGTAGATCTCGGCGTACTTTTCCTCCTCGTCCGACGGCTGGGGCACTTTGACCTCGTGGTAGGCCGGCGACGAGCTGCTCGGGCCCCAGCTGCTGCGGTAGCGCGTGTTTTTGTTAGGCGGGAATCGGTTCGCGTACGACATCTTCGGCTGGCTGCAGTCACCAGGCATCCGGAAGAGTGAATCCTTCTTCTAGCTAGTTTGGCCTGCAACAAAAGCAATGCAAACGTTCGTTTGAGTAAATATAAATTCATAGCACACGAGAAACATTGCTTACATTCGAGTTTATGTTCGCGCGCGAGATATTGAGGCGAGCTCAGGCGCTAATGCGCGCGCGATATGGAATAGATCGAGAAAGCCTGCAGCGCGGCGCGTCTCGGCCGTACTCTATGCACACACGTGTTTGTCTGCGCGCGCCGCGTTTGTTTGTGCAAAACCTGCATGTGGCTGCAATATAACGTCTGCGCAACTATCCAACTTGTATACACACACACATGTACGCATACGCCTGCTCGCGCTCGAAAGCAACTATGCAAATAAATTGCGCGCACGCGGGCCTGCGGGACAGCTTTATTTCCTCTATTTTGACCAACTTTCTTTCGACAGCCGACAATTTATTAGCTGAGCTGTGAAAGTACTCCGCATTCATTTATTTTTCCCTTTTTCTTACTCTTTTCATTCATTAGTTCGATCATCTTTTTTTTTTTTTTTGATTCGATAATCATTTGATTTGGGAATGAAGATCGAAGAATTTTCCATGGCTCTAATATGGAGACGATAATATGCCTTCGACTTCCGTGTCAAATTATATTAAAGAAGTTAGTACGCTTAGCATATTTACAGACCTATGACATTCGTCAAATGTCACGGTCAAGTAATTAACAAGTTTAAATGAAGAATGTTTGCACAGGCAAATAACGGACAACTAAACTCATATTCTAGAATGTAGTTGAATTCGTGTCACTTTATGGTATAGAGCCCTCGGTTCATTTACAGAACTGGAGTGTGCAAATTGAATTGATAAGAAGTTATGACTCTAACACCCAATGCAAGTTGAAAGGGAGTTTTATAATTTTTTTTGCGTGACATAATAAATATGCTCGCCGTCAAAAAGGCCATATAAAAACACCACCGAAAAATTCCCGTTCGTGGGAGAAAAAATTCATAACGGAATCAGAAAAAATAAAAATGCGTTTGTGGTTGGAAATACGTACAATTTGCGGTAAAGCCGTAAAAAATTCAAAGAGGCAAACTAGACTAATAAATCTTGCAATATACAGATCTATATAAAGTGTAGAATAGCTCGCATGAATGGAATAAAGGAAAATGTATGACTTCAGAATACGTGGTGTGAATTATCGCCCAAGTCGCATACAGGCGTACAGTCATATTCAGATTTTAAACTTGACTATTGTGCGCATTTTTAAATTTTTTTTAAAATAGTTAACATTTTATTACGTATATTTTATTCCACAGTGACGATATACTACTGATATTATCTAATACATTTGACTTGTAACGTTACATATCAACGCGGAAAGAATTGTCAAAATTTATAACAACAAAAACTATATAAAAGGAAAAACCGTGCAAATTAGCACGTGAAGAAGATCTCTGTAGCAGCTTCTAGATTGAACTGCACTTGAGATCTTTGTCGAATGATTACTGAGAATTCTTTCTTTTTTTTATCAATAAAAATTACCGATAAAAATAAGAGCCACGACATATTTGTATACTTATAGTATAATAATGACTAAGCCGAAACGACACTCGCTGGAATTTCAATAAGCTGACATTTGTGCAGGCACGAGAATAGAATAAATCAATGTAAAATAAGCCAGGGCGATTTTGCTACAAAAACGACAAACAAATAATTCATTTTCATCCGCTACATTCGCTCACGTGTCTGCGACAGATGGAAACATAAGTAAGTATACGTTCAAACAGGAAGCACAAAATTTGCAATCGATTGTCATTTGACTACTGCATAAGGAAACGTACGAAAAATATTTATCCGGCTTGCGATGCAAGGGAAGGCAGTTATTTGAATAAAGTCCAAGACATTTTCGAGATAACCGTCGGTAAAAACAGCAAGTCAACACCATATTTGTTATACACGAATGTCCACATTATAATGGGTGATAAAGCACATAGTAGCCCCCGTATTGAGTGACAAATGCCCGGAAAAGGATTTAATACCTTTTTTTCATACGGACTTAATCGGCGCAAAACGCTGAGTGATTTATTTTCGCCGATGTCGCGATCCATCCATTACTGCCTGTAATGAGTGGCAATTGGTGCACTTTTACTTACGTACACAACGTATCTAGATAAAACCAAGGCGCACGAATTGAATTAGACGTATCATTAATGTCTATAAATCGCAATTATTTCGAAGCGATCGGCAGACGCGTATACGTCGCAATCAAAAAGTTCGGAGCACGTCATGCTCGTCGGCGGCGTCCGCGCTTCAACGTGCGCGGCTACGCAGATAATAACTCGCGAGCTTCCAAATCGGGCAAACGGTCGTGTTGGCGCGTCTCTCGATTTCTCTTGCCGCGTGCGCGAGGCGCATTCGAGAGAGAGAGAGAAAAAAAAACACAACTGAAACAGCTCGAGCACGATCCTTTTCATTTGTGAGTGCAATTTGGCGCGCTGAGAAATAGTGCGGTGCAGTAAACATATGTTGATGCGCAGTGTGCGCCGCAAACGCGCTATGGTTAACACACGAGAGTCTTCAAAGCGTGTACTTGTAATTTGTTTGTATTCTTTTGGAGTCGAATGAAAAGGGATAATTTGTCGCATCTGTCAGGCTCCTGTCGAGTAGTTTTTGGATATATCTTCAAACTTTTGGTGTTTCGAGTACAAGTATAGGCTGTAAATTGATGCTCTATCGCAAATCGTAGATTTACAAGATAAAATAAAGTCATCGTATACCTTTCCTACGCGACACGATAAACCATGTATTCGCGTGAAAAGGCGCTAAATGTCATACATATTAGCACCTGAACATTTTCACACTTCAACTTTCTCGTTATTTATCCTAAAATATAATTAATACGGCCATTAGCAGCTAATTCAGGCGTTTAACAGGTCGCGGCGCGTCAGTCTCGTTGGCAAGAGCTCCTGCCAATATAATACGTGACGTTTGTAACAAAACAGACATATATCTCTGTAGCGAAACCGTCAGCTGTAACTGCGGCGTACGCGCGCATAATATTTCAAAATAGCGCCGATCGTTCTCAAATACCTAGTTCCGTTGTTTGTCAAGCAGCAGCAGCAAGACTCTCGTCGTGCGAGTCGACTCGAGCGACGAGAGAAGCGACAAATTGCAAACTGCTGCGGCGGCGGCGGCGCACTCACAAGAGCTAGCGCGAGGGACTTTTCGAAATGCGAAAAAGTATAGGAGCGCGAAACCGCCTATTAAAAGTGCCACACGAAAATTACAAGTTGCGAAACGTTTGAATGCGAGTTCGTACTATCATGTATACATATATACTGCAGGGCACAAATGTGAACAGCGATAGGACGTATTATGCTATACGTACGGTATATACGATGCATAGTACGAAGAAATTTGTAGACGCGATCGCCGTATACAAGGCGAATAATATGGCGTCGCGCGTAGAGTACACGTTTCGCGCGGCGAAATTCCGCGATCGTCCCAGAAAAGCAACGTATCGATTAAATTGAACTTTCCAGTGGGCTAGCTCTTGACTGCGCGCACACGTACACGGGCTTCTTCAAATCTACGGGGAAAAAGCATCGGAGCGAGGAGATCGAGAAAACCGCGCGAGCGTCGCGAGTATAAATACGGCTATATGCGCCCAACGAGACAGGCTCGCGATGCTTCATAAACACATCGGCGCGGAGCAATTTTACGCTTAGCTAGTGTCACCGCAATCGCGAGTATATGGGTATATCTTCGCTAGAAAATATGTCCGTGCGCTGCGCCGATGTATCCCGTAGTGCAGAAAAACGAGCGATATAATAATATAAACACACCGAGAATACATATGCGCAGAAGAGAGTCGAGTGACGGCTCGCGTACACATAAAAGCATCGACTGCGTATCGTTATGTCGAGCGGCTACACGTATCGTTTGCTTTAATAAACTCTGTATTCGAGTGCATCGCACACATAGTCGTATGTGTATGGATACACATGGATTCGTAACTGCTGCAGGCCGCACCCACACATATGCGCGGCTGTAATGTACGAGAGATGCGCTCTGGGCTATGAAAAACGTTGTGCGCGCTTTACTTTATTATTATTTTTTTCCTACGCTCGATCGGTCAACGAGCTAGCGAAGCGCATCGGCAAAGAGTACACGTATAGTCGAGGGCGGCTCTTCGACGTACAGAGAAAGAACTCGCGCTTGAGTGGCTCACGTGCTCCGTTCGATGTTATACATACGCTGTATGTATGTGTGGGTGGGTGGTGGTATACACAACGCAGACTCGATGCGAAGACTCTGCAAATTCGAAAAGTCAAATTTTAGCGCGATATAGGCGCACGAGCTTCTCGAGCTATTTAAGCTCGATGCTGTACTTGCGCGAGATGCGCCAGCTTCGCACGCCGATGCACAAGAGCCTCTTGTTTTTTTGCAAGAGTTGACGCTGAATAGTACAGAACCGAGCTGTATATGCTATATGTTATATTGCCAAGCATACGTGTGCGCGCGACAATAATGGCTGTATAGACTTTCGACTCGGTGAAGCGATTAATCGATTTTCCACCGGCTTTTTCCAGCCTGACTCGAGTGTCATGTAGGCGCGCGCACGAGCTGCGAGGAAAAAAAGCAGTCAGTTATGTGTGTAGCTTGTAAACAACCGTCGCATTTTTGCAATCGCAAAAGCTCCATCTCGTACTTCCTCTTTGTTCTCGCTAAGATAAGTTTTTTTTTTAGCTTTGTGGACCTGTAAGCAGCTCCGAGTTGTATATCTTCGATAATCCACCCGTAAGTTTATAGTTCATTTTTTTCCCGCACACAAGCTGTATCGTTTGATCACATTGTTATATTTTGAAATTCGCTTATGAATCGAGCTCAACGCACGTAGTTGTACTCTGTGAAGGAACTCCCACGAAGGTGTCGGGGAACGGCATGAGCTGATTCGACTGAATTCTCTCTCGACTGTACAGCCGCGCTGTGCTCATGCAGCTACTGCGATCGCACATGTGCAGTGCGCGCGCAGTTCGACGCGCT